CGAAAGCTCAATCTTGAGAAGATTAATGCATTTCACAGATTCCTCATTTGTGTATGACGACTCTCTGGCAAAGTGCTTGGTGGTAGCTCCATTCCTCAGTGTTGCTAATTTGTCACAGCTGAGAGATCAGTAAAGCACCAAATAACTCTCACATGTGCAGCATTTCTCCTGCGGGCAGTCTTATCTCACGACCCCGTGTTAAGCTGCTAACTTTGCAGCAGCAGGTACAGAGGTCTGCTGCCGGGGGACTTGTAGTGGAATCCTGGACGTCGCATCTCTCTGGAAGCTATCTTTTTAATTTGGATCTTTTTGATCATGAGAGGGATGAAATTATGTCTGCATGTTCATTTGAAACACCTGAGTCTGATGGCTTCCAGGTTGGGATCCCTGAAGTGATTATCACCTTACAGCCAATTTCTCAGTGCAGAAAAAAATATCATCCCGAACTCCCACACTGTAACAATACTCTCAACTTCTCCCCTTCTCTGTGGTGTTACCATCTCAATCTCTGTTACTGTTTCTAACCCTCTGTGCTCCCAAACCTCTACAGCAAATCTCTCTGCACTAATATGTCCTTCTATGGCAAACAATAGAGGCCTAGCACAGAGGGCCTTTAAGGATACAGTTCACCTGACTAAAGAAGAAGGAAAAAAAGAGTTATTCATACTCCATAAGTGGTGCTTTTCTGTCTCCTTGTGGCTCTAAAAGGCAAATACAACTGTACAACACATTGAATGATCTGCATTTGATTTATTTAATTGTGTGTCATTGTGTTTGTTTCTCAATACTCCTATACTAACTTAATTGGGAATGTCCATCATATGTATAAGCCTAAATACAATTGCAGAAGGGTCTACAATGTGTTATAACATCTACAAGGCATCTCATGGTTGCTGTTAAGGGACCTCTTCAGTTTTTCAGATAAACAATTACCCTCTCTTGCTACTTTTGACCACCTGAAAGCTGCTTTTTTTACACTTCACAACATTAATTATATGCACTTAGAGAAATATCTAAGCGGAATACAAATAGCATCTTTGACAGAGTTTAACTGCTTTGTAAACTGTGAGCAGACATTTCACTTTAACTGTAGTTATAGTGACCTCTAGTGGCATTTAAGTGATTTCTACCATGTCAGCTTAACCTGCAGCCTTCAAATACACAGCAATCCTGTTGAAGAGTCTTTGTGACTTGCTGCAGACAACATGTGTTATTATACTATTAATAAACAGCTACATACATTTGATGTATGTACCTACCAATATAAAATATCGTTTTTCATCTTTATTTTTCAACTATCACTAAAGTACCATAATGACGCTTTTCTGATGTATTTCCTTCATGCAGACACAAGGTGGCAGGCTATTCCTGCAGTTTAGGAGGACGGTTTGCACCTCTGATGAGTATGCATGCTTTTATTTAAGTATTTATCTACATATTCAAGGTGTACATTCATATACAAAATAGTAATAATGCTTTTCCTGTAAGGATGTTAACAAAGCTAACGTGCACTAGGGTAATGTGTCACAACTAAAAAGAATCCAGTACTGCACCGACAAAGTGATTGTTAGGCACTCGAAGAAAAAGGGCTGAAATCTTCAAAAGTAGCACTTGATAAAATAAACAATTTCAATATGAACATAAAAATACATCTCACTAGAAAATAAGGGGTTATTTAAGGCACCTACAACACACCTCTACATTATTTGGGATTAAGTGGTGGAATAGATCAAATAATATTCAGTATATCTAACGAAGTATCAACGAAGCTTACATTATACAAATGTAATGCAATATACAGACTGTTGTGGTGACCACCTATTTACTACACTGGTTCATAATTCATACATGGAACTACAGTTGGGGTTTTGTTTCCACACGGACATGTTAGGTGTTGTCTATATATGTTGTGTGCCCTCCTGACTTCTCTCTCTTCTTCCCGGACTGCAACCGGACAACATGACCTTAGCTACTCTTAAATAAAGTATCCTTTTGCACCTTCCTTGCACCGCCTCTGACTCCCTATCTCTCGGCACTACACTGTTTAGTTTATGGTGATCATCAGCACTATGAGCTCATTCTCTCAGTGTATCATCAGGAACACAGAGACACATACATCATTTAAATAAGAGTTTTTAAATTAAATTATTGGTTAAGAATAAACATCTTAAAGTAAATAAAAATAAACAATAGCCCTTAACCCTGTAAGGCCCCCGGTTGTAATTTTACAACATTACTTTAAGCTATCCTAAAAAAGTCAGTAAATGTTTTGTTTTTTCAAAAGACTACATTTACATAGTCAAATGGTCCTTTTGTTCAGCCTCACAATGCTATTGGGTAGTAAATGTGTTTATAGGTCCTGCCCTCTGCTATCCACCCTTATCCACAATGTAAAATAATTCACACAGCCTCTTCTCTCTGTGAGGAGCAGCAGGTTCAGCTTTCAGAACAAAGTAACAAAAAACTAAAATGGCATTCATTTTTTTAAACATGTCGTGTAGTAATAGATGTATTTATTTTTCTTCTCAAGACAGTACCAGAATATGTATTTTATGTTAGTATTTCAAAAAATCTCCTGGGGGAGAATCCCCCCAGACCCCCCTGCAGGAGTTGGGTTTTCAGCATGTCAACTCTTTCACCTGTGGAGAAATTGCAGGATTGGCTCCAGGTCGCCCTTTTTATTTACGACAAGACAAATGTGCCTTTTTATTTCATACAGTTCAATTTGGATTGAGAGAGGGAAATAATCTAAACCTCACGCGTGGCGTTTCACTGTCAAGGGGAGCGTGCACGTAATTGCATTGCAAATACTGACTTGAGCCCCACCACTGTATGGGTTAGCCCTACTGTAGATTACCCAACAAAAATACTCTGGAGCCGCCATTGTGTGTAGTGATCCAATATCGTTACCATAGCCTTGCCCTTTAACAGTTATTACGAGCCCTGGCTCAGCCTTACTCACCAAGAGCCCAGCGCCTAGCCTTCTTACAGGCAAAGTCACTGATCAAGTCCTTGAAGTCCAGCTTTCTAGCCAACTGGCTTTCAATGGACAGCATGGCAAGACTGCAAAGCCTTATGGGGGGACAGGGCTGCTGAGCCTAAAGATGGATCTGTTGGTCCTGGCACCAGGGGGAGGGACAACTGATTTAGGCCCATTCCCAAACCGCCCCCTACACCCTACCCCTACACCCTACCCCTACACCCTACCCCTACACCCTACCCCTCCATTTGCGCGTTCACGCGAAGGGTCCGCCATATTGAGGGCTGGTCCAAAGCAATCAGGGCGGAGGCGTATTGGGTTATAAAAGCTTCCGACAGCGAGTTTGCATGGATGCAGGCTTGATAATCTCACTCCACAGGTGTGCAACCGTTTTTCGGGCATGGAGGAAACAACGTCATACAAATATGAGTTCCATGTGGTTATTTTTTTTAACGATAAATAATACGTTGCCTTAACTAAAACATGCCTTTGTGAACATGTATTTATAAATCTACACGTGTTAATTTGATTTGCTAAGATTACATTAGATTTTTATTTTGAAGATGTACAAATCTAAATCGGAATCAAACTAACAACACATGTCTCAATTCATGTATCCATTCACTTACGAAATCGGTTTAAACTTAAGTGTGATTTGTAATTTCAGGGACTGTGGTAAAAACCAAGGCACTTATTGCTTTAAGAATGGAAAAGGATGACCTGTTCTGCAAAAAACGCAATGCTGCCAAAGAAGCATGGGAGTGAGTTATGCACTAAATTCACATTTTGTGCAATGAAAGTAATGAATGTGCACTGTGGGTCATTGCCTTAACACCAATATATATTGTTTAAATAGTCTATGATAACAGGTCAATCATTAAGGAACTGGACCTTGGGCAACATGTGTCTCACAAACAGGCCTCCAAGAAATGGGAGAACCTAAAAATGAAATACAAGGTAAATGGTGTATTGTTATTGTAAAACATGTTTGTTTTTGAAAAAGCTGAACAAAGATTTCTAACATGCATTTGTTTGCAATAGGAACTTAAAAGGCCAAGGACTGGAACAGGGACTGATCAGGGGGAAGAAACCCCTGCAACATGGCCCTTCTTCATGGCCATGGATGAGGCCATAGGTGCAAGGCCTTCAATTAGTCCTCCTGTCCTTGTTGCCTCAGCCTTGGCAAACCCCACAATCCTCTTTGATCCGGAGGCTGCTTCCTGCTCCTCTTCCTTCCCCCCCCCAAATGTGGCTGATGATCCAGACCCCTCACCACCCTCATCACTGTCTGAGGCTGGAACCACCCAGCAGCCCCCCCCCCAAAAAAAGAAAAGGTGCTGGAGTGCCTAGAACGCGAGGCAGAAAAAGAGGACGAACGCCACAGAGAAATAATGCAGCACTCAGATACATTTCTAACCCTGTTCGAATAAATGGTCGACAATGTGATTTATTTCCCCCCCCCACCATTGGCCATTTCTATGTTGATTATTGATGTTACTTAAAAGACTTGTTTTTGTTCGCTTGTATTATTTATTTGGAAGACAATAAACCTAATTTAACGTACTGTCCTTCATGTCTTCAATATTGTATGGGATATAGTAAATACAGGTAGACGGGTGATGAAGGTGACATTGCGTTTGCTTGATTGTTAGATGGCTACATTGTTCTGTGTGGGTTTCATAATGTAGAAGGAAAAGTTTTGCACAAAGTAATGTTGTGCACGGAACTAAAGTGTTTTTTCCAAAGTCTGAAGATTAACCCTGAATATCAGCATTTTAAATAAAGATATGTCTGTGCGCTTCATAGGTATAAGGCATTAAAATATACATGACATTTACGGTCTTAATTGCTCATGTCAAACCATTTGCAGAGTTTCACTCAAAAACAAAAGTGATTGTATTAGAAGACCTGTGTTCATTTTCTGAACCTTTGCTCTGTGCTCGTGATTGAATGATCCAAGAGGTAAGGACATTTGTCTCCAATTTGGGATTATGCAGAAAGACAATTCAGGAAAACCAAGTTTGAAATCAACGGTGCACAGGTTTATTTTATTTCACCTCTTTTCTCTAAAGTGAGAAGTGGAGCTCACTAAAACAAACAAAATTAAATCAGGTATGTGTGCACATCATTTCAAAAACACAAGTTAACAGACAACCACGTTTTGCCAAAAAAACACCAAAAAAAACAAAGTTCATTAGATGTAATCGTGCTCTCTCAGGTGTGGTGCCATTTGGACAGGAGCAGAGAGTTGTGCAGCAATCCTGTCCCTTAGGTGGTGTCCAGGACTTTCCTGTCCACATGCTGCGGCAGGAGGAGGACTCTGGTCCCCATCTTCAGGGGGGAAGGCTTCAGCATCCTCAAGGACATCGTTCATGTCTTTGCACAGATTGTACAGAAATGCACAACATGCAATGATGTCAGAGGCAAAGCTTGGACTGACCTCCAGCGCTTTGAAAAGGGTGGCCCTCCAGCGAGCCTTCATCCTTCCAAATGCTCTTTCCACCACAGACCGAGCCCTGGTATGATGCCTGTTGAATCTGGCCTGCACCTGGCCGCGAGGGACCTTGTAGGGTGTGAGTAACCCCACTGGTTTTTCCAGGCAGGGATAACCACCGTCCCCAAGGAGGAACCAACCAGCTGGGGGAAACAGTGCCTGGCAGAAGATGGGGCTGTTTCGCAGTACTCTGGCATCATGAACGGAGCCTGGATAGCCGATGAAGACATCCAGGAATCTCCCAGTTGAGTCACAGATGGCCTGCATCTGGATGGAAGGAAACAGCTTGTAATTGATGTACTCCTTGTGGTACTCGTTTCCTGGAGGTTTGATGCGAATATGGCATCCATCAATCGCACCAGCAGCACGGTGAAATGCAGGACTCTTTGCAAGCTGACAGAAGCCATCTGCAATCTCTGGCAGCTCATCTGCGGCTGGCAGGGAAATGAGGGTCTTCAGGTTGGCCTTTATCTTCCCGGTGACGTGTTTGATGATCCTGTGGACCGTCGATTTGGGAATCCCGAATGCTGAACCCACCACAGAGAGCGATAGTCCATGGGCCAAGCTGTAGAGGAGAACAAGCACCTCGATGTCTTGTCCCCATCCGTGGTCCTTTGGGGAGGAAAGCATCTGCACTAAATACACCACACTGGATCGCTTAACTCTAAAGTCCTTCTTTAGACAGGCTTCAGGGTTGGCATACACGGCGAGAATTGGGGCAGTAGCATTGAGCTGCATGTAAAGACCTTTGCCCCCCTGTAAAAGACAAACACAGGATTGTTCAATAACCACACACACAGACACACACAGACACACACACACACACACACACACACACACACACACACACACACACACACACACACACACACACACACACACACACACACACACACACACACACACACACACACACACACACAGCTCTGTAAACAATTCTGAGACCAAGTCAAATTAACCTTTCGTTTTTTATTCTATAAACTACTGACAACATTTCTCTGTGTTGGAATTCTACAGACACTATACAGATATACACGTATAGCTTATAAGGAAATAATAAATGAATGTATATCACAATATATCTAAATATCTATTTGTATTACACATACAAAGTTCATAGGCTACTATATAAGAAATAAGGTGAAGATAATTGTTGTATTAGCAATATTGAAATGTTTACCTGCCACTGGAACATCGCTAAAATGCGCCTCAACCTTCTGCGCCTTCTGTTGGATCTTGCCATTGCACCCGCTAACAGGCGACGGATAGCAACGCAGGTCAATGCAGCCGACAGATGTGGGTTGAACACCATGACATCCGTTTCTGTTTCCTGCGGAGAGAGGGGAGGCCGTCCCAAAGCTTGCCGCTGTATGTATACCCTTAACCCAGTGGTTCTCAAAGTGGGGGGTGCAGATGTCCTTCAGCCCCCGTGCTCTCAGACCCTCCCACAGATAAGAAACCCCCAACGGGACCCAACAGTGTCCGCCACGCCTCGTCTCTGGAGAGGAACGCACCCCGACCCGTGGAGAAGATGGTGGTCGTGTCTCCTCCTGTTGCCCAAAGCTTCAGAGAGGAGGAGATGATTCCTGTGAGGTCGACCCCTCAGAGGAAGGAGGATCCAGAAGAAGATGAAGCTCCTCCCACTGCCGGCATGAGGTCTCGTCTGCAGAGGCTCGCAGCGCAGAGGAAGTACTGGGATGGAGACGCGGCTCCAGACCCCCCGTCTCCTCCGAAGAGACACCCTGAGGCCCCCCCAGCAGCTGCAGCACCCCCCACCCCGTCCTCAGGACCTCCTGCTGGGAGGAGAGGGCGTCTCGCTAACCTCGCTGCCACCATCGGGTCCTGGGAGGACGACCTGAGCCACGCTGCGTTCCCCACGGAGAAGCATCAGGAGAAGCAGAGCTCTGCCGTCCCCATGTCAGCAGGCAGAGGAGCTAACGTGGCTATCGGAGCCAAGCCAAGTCCTGCAGGCAGCAAGTCTACACCCAGCGCTCAGGCTCTGTACGGCCCACCTAAGCCCAAACGAATTGACCTCCCAACTCCCCAGAAGGTGGAGGTTCCTGCAGCAAGAGCAGCTCTCCAGTCAGTGAGCACCCCCCAGAAGAGCTCCATCCAGGGGGCATCCTTCCCCTTCAGCCCCCAGAAGAGCTCCATCCAGGGTCCATGCAGCCCCCAGAAGGCCGGACCCTCATCCCTAACATCCGGGTCATGGCACCACTGTAACCGGTCTGGTTTGACGCCACATGTGATCTCTGCGTTGTGTTATGTTGTGTAAATGAGAACGACTTCTTTCTTGCCAACCAGGATTTATTCTCTGTGCAAAACAGAATATAATAATTAAAGCAGGAAATGGCTTCATCAGCTTTCTAACTTCACACTTCTCCTCAGTGGGGCCTGAAGCTAACTCAGGAAAGTATACAGAGTTCTAAATAATACAATTAACAGATATACATCTATCCATGGTGGCAAACCAGTTTTTCCTTGTAAACCAATATACACAAATATAACCATTAATTTACACTTACATAACAAACAATACAATTTACAGTTACAAAATACAAAAAGAATACCCACATACCTGTGCAAAACAGAATATAATAATTAAAGCAGGAAATGGCTTCATCAGCTTTCTAACTTCACACCTTCAGTGGAAGAAAACACGCACATGTTAGGTTAGCATATAGCTAAACTTTAGAAAGCTCCCAAACACTGTTTGAAGCGCTGCACATTATATAAACTACAGTCACACACGGCAAAATATAGATATTAACTGCAAATAGGTTTGGCTTGTGTGAAGTGTAACATTAAACAATCTATTAACATATAAAATACAACATTTATGACACCACTCGTTCCACTTACTTCTCCTCAGTGGGGCCTGAAGCTAACTGAGGAAAGTAGCGCGAGTCTGCAGAAATGTGTTGGTGCCATGAGTACCAAAATAAAACGTACTTTTCAAAATAAAAGCATCTAAAAAATAAAGTGACAGTGACAAGTTTTACAAATAAAGTATGGACAATGATTTTACTGAAATATAAACAAGTGAAGTTATACATTGGTTACACAGAGTCATGCCAGGGGGGGCGCGAGAGACCAGGAGGAAAACATTTAATAATTTTAAAAAAAAAAGATTTAAAAAAAAAAAAGTCATAATTTGAAAAATTATTTATTCGAAAATAATATGATGCAGTACAGTGCTATTACGTCTGGGTCTCTGTGTTTCATTAAAGCTCGGCTCTGTGTGTGTGGAACGAGCCATTTTGTATGCGCGAGAGAGAGAGAGAGAGCGCACCCGCGCACCGGTACCTGAGATCGTTGTTAGCTTCTGGTACTGGCGAGCTACGCTAACGGAGTTTTTTCAACAACAAGGTGGAGGAGAGTCCTCTCCTGTCAGACTGAGAGACTCAGTGAGCTAAAGGACTCTATCAGTGTTATCTCAGTGGGTCTCAAACGTTTTGGTCACCATTAATGTAAACAATTATTTCCAAGGCACACGTTTATATGATCATTATAGTTATAAAAAAATACGAGAATAAATGAAAAACAGACTATATGACAGTAAAACAAGAATAAAGTTTAAAAAGGTGATTTGTAAAATATCCATAAAGAAAAAGTAAATCTGTTTACAGTTCTGTTTCATATGGGTGTTGAGAGATGTATCCATAGATCTCTTCATTTTGCTCTCAAAGTGCACCAGATTGATGCTTTTAACTTCAATATTTAAAAATAAATCTTCCCGGGGGAGCTTGCCCCCGGACCCCCCTATGTGAGGTCCACACACCACCTATAAAAATAGCACTTTACCCCTGCTTACACCTATATGCAGCCGTGAGCTGATTATCGAGCCTTCATTGTGACAGTCGCGGGTACACTGTGTATATGCGTGGGGAGTGTTGCAGTAGAAAATTCCACTGTAGCGACCGGTACATTAATGGGAAACCCTAAATGTTTGAGCACCCTCTATGAAACGTCAAGCTACCCCACAGCACCCCCAAAATAAATCTCTGGCGCCGCCTCTGAGCCTGAATATTTGTGTTGGGGGGGCCCGACTTTTTTTTTTCTCCAAAGGGGGGGCCTGACAGAAAAAGTTTGAGAACCACTGCCTTAACCCTTAATGGAGGGAACTTCATTCAGCTGTGAGTGTGCCTACAGACGGAGTTCACTCCGTCACGGAGGGGGAGGGCCGAGGGAGTGGTTTGGGATTGGGCCTTAGTATGAATAGAGTGGCGAAGTCCCTCCCCTTCCGGTGGTCCTCCATGGGACCTTATTTCGAAAAAATGATGTATTGAAGTCAATGGAGAGAGAAAGATTATCTTTCGATCCCGTTTGAATTGTGCCACGAATTACACATATGATGTTTGTCAATTTAAAAGATAATTTTGAAGTAAAAAAAAACACATTTGTTTGTGTGAAACGCTCAATGAACTACATCTCTCTGGTCTCGCAGAACAACACACGTCACCAAGATGGCCGTCACTACTGTCTTGTCAACAAAACGATTGACTACCCTCACTATCACCACAATGAAACACGTCCAGAAGAATGTCATGCAAAGCTGACTGCCTGCCTTCCTTTGATTCTCTCTGAACTGCCTGGTCTTTTTAATGTTTAATGTCAACCATTTGTGCAGATAGCATGAAGTAGAAAAGATCGGCGATCTATATTCATCGATACGAAATAAGACCCCACGGTTTGATGATTGATAGGTGTGTGGGCTGTCTTTCATTTTGACACACAGAACAATGGGGGATATCCACCCTTATCCACAATGTAAAGTAATTCACACAGCCTCTTCCCTCTTCTCTCTGTGAGGAGCAGCAGGTTCAGCTTTCAGAACGAAGTAACACAAAACTACAATGGCATTCATTTTTTTAAATATGTCGTGTAGTAATAGATGTATTTATTTTTCTTCTCAAGAGAGTACCATAATGTGTATTTTATGTTAGTATTTTAAAAAATCTCCTGGGGGAGAATCCCCCCAAACCCCCCTGCAGGGGTTGGGTTTTCAGCACGTCAACTCTTTCACCTATGGGGAAATTGCAGGATTGGCTCCAGGTCGCCCTTTTTATTTCATATAGTTCAATTTGGATTGAGACAGGGAAATAATCTAAACCTCACGTGTGGAGTTTCACTGTCAAGGGTAGCGTGTATGTAATTACATTGCAAATACTGACTTGAGCCCCACCACTGTATGGGTTAGCCCTACCATAGATTACCAACCCAGTCTCACAAAAAAACGTGTAATAACTACGTTGGTCCACAACGTAGGACGTAGTATATCTACAAAAACGCCTCTGAAATTGTAAAATGCCTACGTTTTTTTTTCACCATTCATTCCAATGGCTGGCTTCTATGTCACGTGATCTTCAAATTTCTCCCTGCAGAAAAAAAAACATGGCCGACCTTCGTTTTATTCTCGGTGTAAAATGCCTATTTTAAGGTTAGTTTGGTCATTAAAATGCGTTTTGATGTCATTTCATGCGAGAAATATGAGTTGTTATTTAAGATTATGTGTGCAGTGGGTGTACATGATCTTTAGTTTGCTAGTTATTACGAAGATTACTTCAGGAAATTGTGTCTATACAACTTTTTCATTGTTACCAAGATGGTTGCTAGGGACGCTGCTATCGATATTATTTCTGTTATGTTGTGTAAAATGGTGTTGTCTTTATTGCTACCCCCTTCCCCGTCAATGTATAGTGTTGGTCCACAGTGCAAACGTATTAGTTATTAGCTAGACTTTTATTTAGCATCTCAATGTAAACAGCTTCATGCCCGGGAGGCGAAGACCGGCAGTCCGGCTCACTAAAATGTCCGTGCAGAACAATACCCATGAAATGGGATGGGACCACGGCAGACTGTCCAAAACTGGATTTGAACGGGTCCACCGCGTCCCCCCCCTCCCCCACCCCGTTCCCAGAACTACACATGCTGGCACGTCTCTACTGGGAATTGTAGTTTTAAAAGACGTTTTCATATTTCCCATAATAAGAAGTTGCCAGTATTAAACTGTGTACATCCCTGGAGGACAGAGGGTGTCGTTTTTCTCATACTGATATTCTGAACAATCTGTGCTGTTGTATTTGCTGTAAAGTGTCTCTACTGTAGGCTAATTTTATTATATGTACAGCACTTTGGCTCGACCAAAAATCGTTTATAAATGTGCTATATAAATAAAACTTTATTTTATTTGATTTTGGAGGTTTAGGGGATAGGAAATACTCAAATTAAAAAAATATAATTAATAAATGGGTGAAAATTGCTTGTGCCCAATGGGCAGCATTAATATACCCACACGACAGCTAAGGTCAAAAGAGCTTTATTTAACAGCTGGTCTTATGTATGTGACCCCTCCTGTTGTTCATTGATAAGCCTGAAACATGCACTTGTCAAGGTTCAGAGGCACATTTTGCAAATCTGGCAGTAGCCATAGATCAGCTTAAGATGAGATATACTTTATTGATCCCAAGTTGGAAACATTTGCGTTACATCAGCATGTGTATAGTTGTACATATGCAGTGGTGTTTATTTGTAAATCATTTAGTATAATCACACAAATTCTGTGTTTTATATTTAATAATTCTTTGTTCTTTATTTATTGATTGTTCAATACCTGACAAGGCCGGAGATTAAAAACTTGGGTCACAGGTTCCTCAACAGTGCATCACAAGACATCTTTCAATATTTGTGTACCTCCACCATTAAATTGTCGTATTCTGCACATTTCTTATACTATCTACATCTTATAAGAGTATAATACATATGTATAATATCAGTTAAAATAAGTGCTTCAACATAGTTAACATTCCTGGAGGTATACACAAAGTTTTACATTCATTGCATAACTACACCATTTGTGAATATGTCAATAAACCTTAGAAAATCTTGAAAGGGATGTGCAAAATAGTCATTATATACAGTCTTTAATTAACTATTAGTAGAGAATAACGAGTAATGAACATACTTTATAGGGATTCTATTAATGTCTAATAATAAAAATAATGAAATTCAATAACATGCTTTAACCACTAGGTGTCCCTTTATATCAGGTGTGCACGTGTATGGTGTAAATACAGCCTATCTACCAATTGGATCAAATATAAAAGTCAGCCGAATTAGTGTTGATACTGCAAGGAGATGTATTGTGTGAAAATAAATGTAAGATGTTGTTTAATTACTGATATATTTATGATCCATGTCACGTTTCCAGTTCATCATGTTTGTCTCATCAAGGCTCTATAAATAGAGAACTACAGCAGATATGTAACATTTAATGCAGCCGAACCGTGTATTACAATGCCGTTATGTGATGACTTTCAAAGAGAAAAGCAGTGGACCAACACTAATAACGGTGTTGGTAACGGAAAATAACGTATCTATTGTGGTGATTGACATTATTCACCCACGGATCTATGGGTTAGGCCAGGGTATTGTTCTGCACGGACATTTTAGTGAGCTGGACTGCCGGTCTTCGCCTCCCGGGCATAACGCTGTTTACATGTGTTTTGAGATACTAAATAAAAGTCTAGCTAATAACTAATACGTTTGCACTGTGGACCAACACTATACATTGACGGGGAAGGGGGTAGCAATAAAGATAACACCATTGTACACAACATAACAGAAATAATATCGATAGCAGCGTCCCTAGCAACCATCTTGGTAACAATGAAAACGTTGTATAGACACAATTTCCTGAAGTAATCTTCGTAATAACTAGCAAACTAAAGATCATGTACACCCACTGCACACATAATCTTAAATAACAACTCATATTTCTCGCATGAAATGACATCAAAACGCATTTTAATGACCAAACTAACCTTAAAATAGGCATTTTACACCGAGAATAAAACGAAGGTCGGCCATGTTTTTTTTTCTGCAGGGAGAAATTTGAAGAT